CTTGTGTCCCGGTCACTTTTGAATAAGCATGGTTTTCGCATTGTGTTTGAGTCAGACAAGGTCATCTTGTCGAAAAGTGGAATGTTTGTTGGAAAATGTTATGTTTCCGATGGAATGTTTAAACTCAATGTAATGGTTGTTAGACCAAAAGTGAATAATAAAGTGAATGCTTCTGTTTACTTGCTTGAGTCTTCCAATGTGTGGCATGGTAGACTAGGACACGTTAACTATGATACTTTACGTAGGCTAGTTAACTTGAAATGCATACCAGCATTCCATGTTGATTCCAAACATAAGTGTTAGACTTGTGTTGAAGCAAAATTGACTAGGCCGTCATTTAAGTCAATTGAACGAAATACGGAATCACTTGATTTAATTCACAGTGATATATGTGATTTAAAATTTGTACAAATAAGAGGTGGCAACAAGTATTTCATTACTTTTGTCGACGATAGCACGAAATACTGCTATGTGTATTTGTTAAAAAGCAAGGATGAAGCGATAGAGAAATTTGTTCTCTGTAAGAATGAAGTTGAAAATCAACTTAACAAGAAAATTAAGGTGCTAAGAAGCGATCGAGATGGTGAGTATGAAGCATCGTTTGCTGAATTCTGTGTACAACACGAAATCATACATGAAACCACCGTACCGTATTCACCGCAACAAAATGGTGTTGCTGAAAGGAAAAATCGCACTTTAAAGGAGATGATGAATGCGATGCTAGTAAGTTCTGGATTACCTCAGAATATGTGGGGGGATGCTGTATTACCAGCAAATTATCTTTTGAATAAGGTGCCTCGAAAGAAAATGAAGAAGACCCTTTATGAGTTATGGAAAGGAAGAACGCCTTCTTATAAATACTTACGAGTGTGGGGGTGTCTTGCTAAAATGGCTGTCCCAACACCAAAGAAGGTGAAGATAGGCTCGAAAACTGTAGATTGCATATTCATTGGATATGCACATAATAGTAGTACTTATCAATTTCTCGTGTATGAATCTAAAATCCAAGATATACACAGAAACACGATAATGGAGTCGAGAAACGCTTCTTTCTTTGAACATGTGTTTCCATGCAGGTCCGAAGAAGAGGCAATCTCTTCTAAACGGACGTATGAGACTATGACTGAACATAGTCAGGACCAAGAACTAGAAGAGGAGGTTGAGATTGAACCTAGACGTAGCAAAAGGGAAAGGACAGAAAAATCTTATGGTCCAGATTTTCTGACTTATATGCTAGAAAGTAAACCTCAAAACTATCAAGAGGCTGTGAACTCCTCGGAAGGACCTCAATGGAAAGAGGCCATAAAATAGATTCTATCCTACAAAATCATACATGGGAGCTAGTGGATCTTCCACCAGGAAGTAAACCACTAGGCTATAAGTGGATTTTCAAACGAAAAATGAAAGCAGATGAAACTATTGAAAAGTATAAGGCCATGTTGGTAATAAAAGGTTACCGACAACGGGAAGGCCTTGATTACTTTGATACATATTCTCCAGTAACGAGAATAACATCCATTAGAATGATACTTGCGATTGCTGCTTTGCGAAATCTTGAAGTACATCAAATGGATATTAAGACTGTTTTCTTGAACGGAGACTTAGATGAAGAAATCTATATGGAACAACCCGAAGGGTTTTCATCTCCAGGGCAGGAAAAGAAAGTGTATGGTGAAGTCATTGTATGGCTTGAAACAAGCACCAAAACAATGGCATGAGAAATTTGACAGTGTCATGATGGAGAGTGGATTTAAGATCAACGAGTGTGACAAATGTGTTTACGTCAAAGACACTAAAGACGGATATGTCATCTTATGTCTTTACGTTGACGACATGCTTATTGTTGGCAGTGACAATAAGATGATTGAATCCACTAAAAATATGTTAAACTCGAGGTTTGACATGAAAGATATGGGTTTAGCTCATGTTATACTTGGAGTGAAAATCTCAAAAACTTCAAATGGGCTTGTTCTAAGTCAGTCACATTATGTGGACAAAATTTTAGGAAAAATCCATAAGGATGATATTGGCTTGGCTAGAACATCAATAGATACTAGTCAACATCTGTCTAAAAACAGAGGAGAAAGTATCTCTCAAGTAGAATACTCGAGAGTTATCGAAAATCTAATGTACTTAATGAGCTGTCTAGACCAGACATAGCCTACATAGTCAGTAAACTGAGTAGATACACGAGTAATCCAGGAGCTGATCACTGGAAAGGAATAGTAAGAGTACTAAGGTACTTAAGATATACTCGTAATTTTGGACTGCACTATAGCAGATATCCAGCGGTCATTGAAGGATATAGTGATGCTAATTGGATATCCGACATAAAAGACTCAAAGTCCACGAGTGGATTTGTGTTCACTGGACAATAATAGAGAACTTGGCCTAGACAGAAAGAATATTGGCCCATACATAGCTCTAGATAAAAGTGGTGAAGAGGCTGAGTGGCTACGCAACTTTTTAGAGGATATTCCAAGATGGTCAAAGCCTGTGCCAACAATTTGCATATATTGTGATAGTCAATCGGCAATTGGAAGGGCACAGAACAACATGTATAATGGTAAGTCTAGACATATACGTCGTAGACATAATACCATTAGGCAACTACTCTCCACTGGAGTTATCACTATTGATTATGTAAAGTCAAATGATAACATTGCTGATCCGCTAACCAAAGGGTTATATAGAGAGTTAGTTGAGAAATCATTGAGAGGAATGTGACTTAAGCTCTTGAATGGATAAGTTAATACAAAAGAAAATCCAACCTAGTTGATTGGAGGTCCCAAGATCTAGGTTCAAAGGGACAACCTAATTGTAAAGACTTGATAGAATCACTGTAAGGGATATTACCTCCTGTCCATTCCTATGATGCGACAGTGATGCCCATAAAAATGGAGGATAAGCAATAGGATTTTAATGATTCTTATGCGTCGAAAATCGAGCCAAATAATGCGGATTACTTGTAATAAGAAATCACCTATGTGAGAGAGAAGTGGGGCCGCTTCTAAGGAAATTGTGTGGAGCGCAATTCTTGTGAACTCTCACAGAACCAGACGTATGTTCATGGCCAAAACGAACATAATAATGAGAATTGAAATGTGTTAGGAAGAATCCTGTGTGAAGTGTATCATCGTTTACATAAACGGTAGAACAGTTCAAGGACATCGGGTCTACTGGTCAGCCAGTGAAGTAAATATGCTTTCACAAGCGAAGGTTCAAAGGGTAACACCTACCTATCGTATGCAGGTTTCAACTATTGAACTATATCACCAAGTCGTCATGTGTCACATTCACAAGTCGTCACGTGTCACATGCATGAGTCGTTCTCAATTTTCATTCATGTGGGGGATTGTTGGAAAAATTGGCCGACTTTGGCACGAGTTTTGAGTGGGACCCGCGGTTGTTCAATTTGGAAGATGAACATTGATTTATGTTCTCCTCCGTGAGTACATCGAAATCATATACTTACTTGCCAAAGTTGATGCTTGGGTGAATGAGAAATTGAGGCTCAAAGTGTGCCACTCAAAAGGGAGTTTATGTGAGAAAAAAGAATTTGTCCCACATAGGAAAAAGATGAGGAACTCTAAAGGTCATTGCCATTAATAGTAGCCTAGCCTATAAATAGTGGCTCATTTTCCTCATTTCAACACACAAAAAAATAAAAACTTTCAAGTTTAGAATACGCTAGAAATTTATTTGCATAAAGTTCTCTCTTAGTGGTGGTGTAGTTCAGGCACTAGTTCAGTTCGTCGGAGTGATTTCTGCGGTGCTCGGAAACTACTGATTTTACCATTGTGTTCTTGGAAACGGACGCTCGTTTTAAACCTCAAGCACGAACGGTGAGGGGGCAAATCTGTTTTAAGGAAACTGTGTGTAACTCAAGCCTCGGGTTAGAATTCTATGTTTCAGTTGTTTAATTCATGCAATTTTTCGTATTAAATTTACAGTCCATGCTTCATGAATTTATGATATATTGTTTGTATGCTTCATGAATTTTAAATTCTATTGGAATAAAAGTTATTTGTTGGAAATAAAACTTTCAATAATCTGATGAAAATTCGATATACGGTTGATTGAATTTTGTTGATTTGCATAATTGCAAAATTGAAAGGTTTTGTCAAAAAGACTTAAACTGTCTAAGAAGAGCTTGAGATTTAAGCGGTCCGATTGTGACCCCCCTCCTCATCTGGGAGCCTTTTAATTGCGCATTATTCAAATTGACGAGATGAAAGAAACATTTCCCTATTTTATCCACATACACTGAATTTCCTACATACAATAGCAGCGCGACTATCACAATAAATCAACTGTAGGTTATGATTCAAGCTAGTTAATAGCTATTGCTCACTATTTCTACATATAATATTAACTATACACTTTTCACCACCAAGTCGCGAGATTATTCACTGGGTTCTATGGATCATGTCGTCAAATTTATCCCATTTTTAGCTAATAGTAAAAAAAATAAAATTGAGAGAACGATTCTCAAAGATCCCTAGAAACTCGAACTTTCCATTTTCAACAAATTTCAAATTTGATGTCCATTAATGTATACTTAGCTCATCGGCACATCACTCTTACACCGAGCTAATACATAAAAATAAGAAATTGACTCTCATAGAGAGCGTAACTAAATATAAAAATAAGGGATTGACTCCCGTAGAGAGGGTCACTAATATTCAATCTTTCATGGTAACTTTACTAAACTCATGTGACCTAATGCGAGTGCAAGGTACAATAATTAAATGTTGTAATTTACCACATGTAAGGTGCATCAATAACCTTATATCATATTAAGTAACTTTTAATGAAGTCTCCGAAATAATCTTATTTTTCACATAATATCTACAATTAACATATGGTGAATAGGTCGTATTGAATAAGTCTATCTTCATGCTTCTCATCTCTCCTGAAGAATAAGCCTTTGATTGACTATTGCGCTAAATGCAGAAATATTTGTCAATATAAAAATTTAAGGAGGGAGCAACGTAAAATCAAATAAGAATAAAAGATATTAAACCAAAAAAAAAAAACATGAAATTAATCGTCTATGTTTTATCTAGGAAATTATATACATATAAAAAAGTTTCTATTTCACAGAGAGAGATAAGAATCAAAATAAGTCAGACTATCAAAATTCAATCAAACAGAATAAAACAAACCCTAGAAGCATGCGAGGGGCTGAAATCAGGGTTTGTTAGTGGTTTTATGGTATTTTTGTTTGATCCACTGCAGGCCAACAGCAGTTCCTTCTTTAATCTTCTTCACGCCAGTGGAAGCCACTGCTTTCGTTTTCCCGAGGCTTTCTCCGACCTTCTTTCCGTACTTGGCCGCCGTAGCGCCGCCGCCAGTGCTCTTCTTTTTCTCCGGTAAGCGGTCCGGTCCGTTGTCCCATTGATCAGCCCATGAGTCGCCGTTCATTTTTGAACAAGATTATAATTCTATAGAGAGATTTTGT